AGCAAGGAGAGCCAACCAGCAACAACCACCGCTCAGTGGCATCTGCACTCTACGGTCTCCGCTGAGGGAACTTGCAGTGGAGATGCCCGTGGCGCCAACCAGCAGACGTGATTGACTGAGCTCGGGAAGTTGAGTCAGAACGTATCAAATTTTAGGCGAGGAGTTTGCTCTACTCCTCGCCGTGGTGGTGTATGTGGTGATTGGGGGAAATGTATTAACACAAGGGAGCGGGGTGCAGGCGACAACAAGAGAACTCCCAAGCAGTTAATGGCGTATGGTAAAGAAAAGAAAGTTCAAAAGAAATAAAACGCAAGAATGATTAGTTTAATAATCTTAATAAAAGTCTTGGTTTATTGGTGGTATTCTTTTCTTAATACAACAAATAAATTACCTCTTCTAATTTATAGTAGTAGCGTCAGATCTGTTAATAACGCGTAGACGTTATACGACAAGTTAACTCTAAGGAGGTTAAACGACAAGTGAACGCTGTGGTTCATGCAATCACTGAGGATTGTGGTGATCGCAGAGAATCGGTTGTCGTTTACTACTACATTAACATATTCCAATGGGAGGAAAGTGTCTAGCAAGGAGAGCAAACCAGCAACAACCACCGCTCGTTGGCATCTGCACTCTACGGTCTCCGCTGAGGGAACTTGCAGTGGAGATGCCCGTGGTGTCAACCAGCAGACGTGATTGACTGAGCTCGGGAAGTTGAGTCAGAACGTATCAAATTTTAGGCGAGGAGTTTGCTCTACTCCTCGCCGTGGTGGTGTATCTGGTGATTGGGGGAACTGTATTAACACAAGGGAGCGGGGTGCCGGCGACAACAAGAGAACTCCCAAGCAGTTAATGGCGTATGGTAAAGAAAAGAAAGTTCAAAAGAAATAAAACGCAAGAATGATTAGTTTAATAATCTTAATAAAAGTCTTGGTATATTGGTGGTATTCTTTTCTTAATACAACAAATTCATTACCACTTGTAATTTATGGTGGTGGCGTGAGACCTGTTAATAACGCGTAGACGTTATACGACAAGTTAACTCTAAGGAGATTAAACGACAAGTGAACGCTGGGGCTCAGTGCAATCGCAGAGGATCGCTGAGGATCGCTGTCGTATATTACTACTACTACACTACCTCCAATGAGAGCAAGAATCTTTCATGTACCAAGGTTAGAAAAACCAACAACAACCACTGCCCGGTGGCATCTGATCTCTGCGGTCTCCGCTGAGGGAATTTGCTGAGTAGATGCCCGTTGTGTCAACCAGCAAACGTGATTGACTGAGCTCGGGAAGTTGAAGGTCAACATATCTAACTTATACATTGCCTCTCACCTTGATACATTTATATGTATCAACAAATATATATACATATATACATATATATATATGTCAGGGGAATGATTCGGGGACAGTAAGGAAAAATAAAAAAATTCTAACTTTTAATTAAATTTTGATTAAATTAGCACATATCACCCGATATCTGGGTAATATAATTAATATATTGCATTCTATCACGTTTTATATTCCTTCAGATTTGTCTGAGGACATCTCTTATATACCGAATCATTTCGGCCAATGTACCTGAAACACCCACTTAATATACAGCGATATGGGTTGCCACCACAATGTTATATTTATAATTTTTGTCTTGAGTTAAATTGACGCCGACAAAATTAAACGGGCTCGCCTTCGTTTATTTATGTTTTGGAAAAATGCAAAACACACATTCACGCTCACACAATCACGCTCACGTTCTTTGTCACAATCTGACCAACAACTATTGTTTGCGTCAAATACAAAAAAAAACTGATTTTGGGAAACAAAATTATGGATTAACTCAAGTTTAGTAAAAACTCTTCATTTTTTTTAAATTCTTTCCAGAGGTTGGTATTTTTACCCCGATCCCGGGAAACTATTTGTTCTTGGGGACGGACCTGGGACCCCAGATTTTTTACTCAAAAGTTCGGGTTTAAGACCCGGTCTGGGTGCACTTAGCCGATATGGACAATATAGATATCGTTAGAAAGTTTCCGAAAATACCTGTCCAACAAGTGGTTACATGATAGTGCATCTGTATAACCCGATTCTAACCAGTTTATTAAAATTATGTTTCCAATAACAAAAAAAGGGTGTACTTCGCATAGCCGTCGTTAGATTACGAAAACATAAAATTTAGAAAACTTTGGCTCGCGTTAGCCGATGTGGGACTTACCCAGAGGAGAAAATCTAAAGCCCTGGCCGAAGGCCGTCTATTTACAAAAAGTGTCAAATTTTGGAAATCTTTGCTTCGCGTTAGCCGGTGTAGGACATACCCAGAGAAGAAAATTTCAAGCCCCGGCCAAAGGCCGGCTATTAAAAAAACTTTCAAATTTAGAAAACTTTTGTAATTCCCAAAAAAAGCTGAAGAATTATGTCACCAATTTTTGAAAAGGATTGTCGTAGCCATTCTAAAGATGTCATTATTATTTAATCCGAACTAGAACAAATGCTGTCCTTCATGCCTATTTTGTATTGCCGCATTAAATATATTGAAATTTAGTTCAAATATAAATAGTTTTAAATACATTCTATTCAACCTGTTTCTCTGAACATACCTCGATCTTACATTCATATATAACAATTTTTATATAGAACTAATTGTAGAGCTGAAAACAAGGAGATATTTTCCTCAACTATGGGGAACTTATCCCACCGTTCAAATAATTGTATTATAGGGTTGCACATGGTGAGTCCTGCCCCACTACTTGATATCTAACCAGTAAGGAAAGGCCAAAAGTCGGACGGACACCCTACACCACTGCTGTTATGTGCACAAAATTGCATTGGGTTATTTATAGCCTTCATTCGACCATATGTGTCAAATTTCATGCCTTTTGGGCTAATATTGCACATTTGGTACACAGTGCATCAAAAATCGGATGAAGATATATATTGGAACTATATCTAAATCACATCCGATTTCCACCAAATTTCATAGAGTTAATTCTTTGTGCACATCGGCTACATGTGCCAAATTTCATCCCGTTTGGGCTAATATTTAACAGGTTGTGCACAATAAGCCAAAAATTGGATGAAGATATATATGGGAGGTATATCTAAATCAGATCCGATTTTCACCAAATTTCATAGAGTTAATTCTTGGTGTATATCGGCTACATGTGCCAAATTTCATCCCATTTGGGATGATTCATATTACACAGGTTGTGCACAAAAAACCATAAATCGGATGAAGATATATATGGGAGCTATATCTGAATCTGATCTGATTATCGCCAATTTCAATAGGGTTCATCCTTGGACCAAACAAACATTGCTTGCAAAATTTCATCTCAATCGGATAAAAAATGCGACCTGCATTTTGTTCACAAAGATCGGATGAAAATATATATGGGAGCTATATCTAAATCTGATCCGATTATCACCAATTTCAATAGGGTTCATCCTTGGGCCAAACAAACATTGCTTGCAAAATTTCATCTTAATCGGATAATAAATGCGACCTGCATTTTGTTCACAAGAATACATGGACGGACGTTCATAAATCGACTCAAAAGTGATTCTATGAATATCCTCAAAAGTAACTATGGGTCTATCTCGAGTATTTCGACCTGTTATAAAAAAATGCACAAAGACATAATACCCTTACCACTATGTGGTGTAGGGTATAAAAATCTTACTCACTTTGACATGCAAGAGGCATTTTCGGAAATTTTTCTTTGGCTCGACTCCTATACAATTGGTCGAAATAAAAAAAAAACTGGTGCCGTTGTATGGGGGCTGGACGATATCGTGGACCTATACAGACAATTCTCTTTCCGGGGCTAATGTGCCCACAGAGAAACTTTTGCATAAAATTTAGACCATTTCATTGGAAAAACGTAGCTAAATCAGTAAAATACAGAATATCTAGGAGTACCGTTGTATGGGGGCTATAGGCCATCGTGGACCACAAATAACCTTTTGTGTAGAATTTCAGACAGTTCCATTAAAAATGTAGATAAAATTATTAAAATAAGTAGATATCATGGACCTATGTAGACAAATCTCTTCTTTGTGAGTACTTTACCCCTGAAAGTACTCACAAAGAACTCTTTGTGTAGAATTTCAAACAATTAAATTGAATAATGTGGATAAAAAAATCAATAACCAGTAAAGAAAGTCCTAAAGTCGGGCGGGGCCGATTTTATGATACCCTACACCAATTTGCTAATTTAGTTGAGCTCCACTTAATAATTAAAAGTTTTTATGGGAGAATTCAATCATACACGCTATGATTATAATTTAAAATTCAAAGGACTAAATATGCCGAAGCATTTGTATCTTTTAAATTCTGAAATTAATTTGAAATCGGATAAAAATATATATGGGAACTATATCCAAATATGAACCGATCTCGATAAAATTTAGCAAAGGTATTTCTGAGCTGCATTTGATATATTTCCCCAAATATTGTTGTTACAGAGTGCATATTACGGCTGCGGAGGACAAAAATAACAAATCGGATGAACAATATATGTGGGAGCTATAGCTATATCTGAACCGATTTCTATAAAATTTGGCATACTTATTTTCAGGCCTAATTTGGTTGTATGTGCAAAATTCCATACTATTCGGGCTGATATTACACGTTTGGGGCACAATAAAAGGCAAATCGGACGAAGATATATATGGGAGCTATATCTAAATTTTTACCGATTATCTCCAATTTCAATAGGGTTCGTCCTTGGGCCAAACAAATGTTGTTTGCAAAATTTCATCTCAATCGGATAATAAATGCGACCTGCATTTTGTTCACAAGAATACATGGACAGACGGACTGACGTGCATAAATCAACTCAGAAAGTGATTCTATGCAGATCATCAAAAGGAACTATGGGTCTATCTCGTTTCCTTTTGCCTGTTACAAACAAATGAACAAAGCCATAGTATCCTGACCACCTTGTGGCGTAGGGTATAAAAATCCCGAATATCGGAGGTACCGTTATATAGGGGCTGTACGATATAGTCGGCCGATATAGCCCATAATCGAACTTAAAATTTTACGCTGATCAAGAATATATATTTTGTTGGATCTAAAGTTATTATTTCGATGAGGTACACACGGAATTACGAACTAAATATACCCTACTTACTTTTTATGGTGTTTGGTATAATAAGAAATGAAAAGTTTTTATACAGTACGAAAAATACAAAAAAGTTTTATTTGTATTGCTTTTTATTTACGCATATACATACATGTTGGAAAATACTTTTACTAAACTTGTACAAAAAAAAAAAATACTTTTTATTCATTTATATATTTTGAATGAAAATACTGATACTGATAGAATACATTTTTTTAAATATGGTTTTATATGTGTCTTACATATATTATTTAGTTTTTGAAGATATAAACTTCAAAAATACAAAAAAGTTTGATTTGTATTGCTTTTTATATAGGCATATACATACATGTTGGAAAATACTTTTACTAAACTTGTACAAAAAAAATACTAAAAAAATACTTTTTATTCATTTATATATTTTGAATGAAAATAGTGATACTGATAGAACACATTTTTTTTAAATATGGTTTTATATGTGTCTTACATATATTAGTTAGTTTTTGAAGATATAAACTTTTTTAAATGTGTACAAACACAGTTTACAAAATATTTGTTTGTCGCAATCGCGTTTATATACTAGAAATGTGCACTCGAATTTATCGTATATGTATTGACCAAGAATTGTTAACATTTTGTTAAATGTATTAACTGTTTATATCAATGTGTAAGAAAATGGAAAAAGGAAAATAGCAGCGTTATATAATATATTCTTGTAGTCCGAAGGAGTTGAAAATTGTAATTTTGTTTAGCTAGGTTTTGTAAACACTGTTTTGCAGTGAATGTAGTTCATGTAATTTCCAAGGATTGAATGATTAGAGTTGAGTATATATAATCTGTAAATAGAAGGTAATTAGATTAATGTACAGAAAGAATATATTTTAATCAAATATATGTTGTTTTGTTCTATAAGTAAGTATGATTTTATCATTATGTTTAAGTAACTGTATATGTTTGAATATAAACCATTTTAAATTCATGCAGAAAGAGCTTTCGCTTTTTTAATGCAGAATAAACGTGAGGGAGGTGCCGGATAATCCAAAAAAAAAAAAATGTTTTCAAAAACACATAGTGTTTTAAAAATGAGGCATGTCTTTTATTGTAATTACCTAAGCAATATTTAGCAATAAGTATAATTAACACCGCCACATTAGTGTCAAGTTTTATGCAGTGTTTGAAAACCAATTCTGTGGTACCGTACCTTAGCGTTCCGTGATGGGAAGAAAAGTTATGCTACACGTAGGTAAAGTACAAACAATAAAAAGTATTTATCGTTAATGTATATTTTGTGCATTCGTTTGCAGATTGGACATTTTAAGCGCGTATATTACAAACATCGTATACCATTAGTAGTGTGTACTTTAAGAAACAATTATTGGTAGTGCACACCTTAGTGTTGCTTATAAAGGATACGTGTTATGTCAATTTGAAACATATGGAAGCAATGCCACAATTTTTAAGGTATCTAATGATGTACACTACGTTGTTTTATGTATAGGTTTCTGTAAAGAATAGTTTTGGTTAAACGATAAAATCATAGACTTTAATTATATTTTTGTATAACTGGTGTGGTTTATATATATAAATATATATTTCCTTAAAAATAAATTTTATACAATCTGGGAGATATTCCGAAGGATGATTAGAATAAAAAGCTTGGCTCAAATTTGAAGAATGTGACTTTATCAAACATTATTCACAAAAATCATCAAATCAATTCAAACTTTAAAATCAGCAAAGGATATTATGGAAAGTTATCCTTTGAGTAAAAATGCAATTTAGTGATAATACACAAATTGAAAACTATATAAATTTATGTGGATACTTACATAATTTACCATTTAGTTCTACTAAACATTTTCTTTCGAGCAAACTCCACATGTGTTTGTTTTCTAAAGATTATTCCAATAAAAATAATATGTGCTGAAACTGAACCGCAAAAATTATAATGAAATTAGTAAATATAAAATTAGTTTAAGGAATACACAAGCAATTTTATTTACCTCACTGTATTAAAAACTTTATTTACGGTTTAGAAGAGCGAAAAATTCTTCTTTGGTTGTCTATCCAGGCTTTAACCTGAGCCGGTTTTCTATTTCGGAGACTTCCGTAAATATTTATGACATTTTTGCATTCATTCAATGAAGGCAACTTTTCTAAGCTTAAAATATCTCCAAAAGCCGATGTTATTGCTTGTCTTTCGTCTTCAGACCATCTAGTGCGTTTTGTTTTTCCGAACGGAGAAGCTACGGGATATCAAAAAGTAGTAAGTTCATATCCCCTTAAAATGTTAGATGAACGAATTTGAGCGAGTTACTATTAACCTCATTATACCCTATATCAGGCAGTGGTAGGGACACTATCGAATTATGCATTAGCTTGTAGCATTCAAAAGGAATCGAGATGGACCCATGTTGCTTTAGGTGATATGAATAGGCCAAAAATTTGAGTCGATTTATACTTTCCGACCATCAGCGCTCAGCCTATAGAACGCATTCAACGCCCAATTCAGTTAAACATGTTGTTTTTGTTGAACATTGGTGGAGATTTGGATAAAGCGCTTTTATATTTTTTCAGACAATTTGATGTAGTTGATGCACAAAACGCTAAATGTATGTTCAATTTCATAGAAATTAGTAAATTGTCACGGAATTGGGTAATGAAATCGGTTCAGAGTTAGATACAGCCCCATATGAAAAATTAAATGAATCCATTACGCAACATTTATCCAATTAAAATTTTTAAAAGCTCTCATGCATACTTTCGATGCACTAAAAACACAATCTTTGTCCAATTTCGATATAGTCATAATGGTAGGTAGCGTGCCCATATATATTTTAATGTAGTCAATCTTAAGTATGGTCAAATTAGACGGCTCTTGTAGTAACTCGCACAAATTTATTCGGTTTTAAAGAAACAGAAGGGATATTTAGGTAAAGGAAGACTAAAGAAAAGTATTTCAATGTTTTTTATATACTTTTTTGCTAAACTTACTGCTACGTTTTTTTAACTTAGAAGAATTAGTATTTTTTGAAACTTCAATGGTTGATGATGTAGATGATATTTCTGATGTTGACGATTCATTAAGTAACCCTTCGTCTTCTATGGTATTATTAATTTCAATATCCTCCTCATTTATTTTATTTAGGGTCAAAGTTTGAACATCAATGTCCTTGATTGTATTGCAACCAGCAGCAGATAATAAAATTTTAGAGACTGTCGTTATTTCGGCCATTGGAACAGGCATTCGATATATGTTTTTATGTATGTCTTTATGATGGCCTAGGAAGTTGGCTAATCTGTCAACAGTAGCTTCTTGGACATTTAATAAGGACGTGTATGTGGCGATATGTTTCCTCAATTTTGTGCCTCTTAGATTGTCAGGCATGGAAGCTCCACATTCGTTTGCGTATTTTCTTAACAATGGGCACGCTCTGTAGTACATTTTTGACAAGTTTGATGTTGCTGGAGCGCTAAATATATATGGGTTCGAATTTTTTATACCAGCATTTTTGCGAAATTTTAAAATAAGTTGCACAGCCTTTATACACATCGGATCCAATAATACGCTGACTGTTCTTCCTAATTTGCCCCTCAATGATATTCTTACAAATTGTTTGGCAAATTGAATTGACTCCTCTGACATATTGTCAAGAAGACCTGCCTCCAAACAATTTGTAATTTCTTCTTTATTGGTAAAATTGTCAATAGTTATTCGTTCTATTTCTCCTGCTCTTCTCCTGTTAAACACCTGGATACATATTAAGGTTGTCTCAACGAGATTCTTCCAAGCGTTTAAATCAAATTTTTCCGTTAATACTGCAATTGAGTCCAGCATTTTTGATCTCAGAAAGTCGTATAGCTTTTTTATATCTTGTTTGTTTGGCAAATCATTTCTTTTGTTTCTTTTTTGATTATATTGGTCCTCGATCGCTTTTTTATTAATCTGAGTGGGGGTTTCCTCAGTCCAAAGGGACACAAAGTTGTCAAGAAGAGACTTCATATCATCATTTTGTTGCTTGATAAGCTCATTCCTCTGTATTCGTGCACATTTTTTTATTATACTTGTCAAATTGGTAGCTACAGCCGGCGTGGCGAACCCTTTGCCGAATTCATATTTTGCTGTCAATCGCAATGCTTCTATTGCCTTGTCGAACAAAAAGGGTTTGAACATATCTTTAAGTTCTAAAATTTCCGGTGCTAATTTTAATAATTCTATTTTAAACCGCCCCAGTAGTCGCATATTTGCTCGTATGTGATCATTATGGTGAGTTTGCGACAATTTTTCGGACAATCTGTTTCCATATCTAATTACTAACTCGTCGTAACGAATCGCACGGGTTATATCGTCGTTTCGCAAAACTGGAAAAATGGTGCTCTTCATTGCTGTGTTTGCAACAGGATGTACGTATTGAGTTAATTTTCGTCCCTCTATAAAATTCGATCTGCCATTTTTTTTCTTAGTACAATATCGTATATGTGCCCTTGCGGTAAATTTTGCGTAAAAACCTTTGCACGACGGGCAGCATACGTAGTCATTGGGTGTATGTTTAGCTTTTTGTCCTTGCTGTCTAAGTACAATCAAAGTACCTGTGTTTTGCTCTTGCGATGTATTGTGGAGGAAATCCCCTTCTTTTCGTAGCTTCTCAATTATTTGCAAACGCTCTTTATTACGTTTCGGTAGTGCCATGGCTAGTTTTACGAGTTTTTCGCTTTTGTGTTTCAGAAAGAAATGTCTTGCAATTTTGCATTGCAGAGTCTTGCAAAATAGACAAAAATGACGCTTCGATCTTTGCTTTGAAACAGGAACGGCAACTCCATCCAAATTTAAATTATTTGAAATCTCCAAAAAAGAGCTGATGTTTGTGCTTGTGTTTTCTATTGCCGAGCTAGGTAGGTATTCCGACGCAGAAGAATCAATATTTGTCAGGGTAATAGAGGTTTTCTTGATACTACTTATGTCAGCATTTTCAACGAAAGTTTCGACAGATGTTGAATTTTTACAACACTCCCAATTATCAATACAGCTTATATTTAATGCATTGCAGGATACATTTTCGTTAGATTCTTCCACACATTTCCTTTTCGGTGAGCCGAAAGGTAAAGAACTTAAGCCAGTATTACTCAACACAGAGTCAGTTGAACATATTTCTGATATACTGCTTGAAGATTGCTCTGAATCGGTAAATATTGTCTTATTTAAAGAGTAATTATCATCTTTTGGAGTAGTTTTAGCAACAGTTAAATGCTTACTAGCTGTTTTCTTTCGGGGAGTTATATGTATAGGTCTTAGTCCAGCTTTAAGGGGTACATATTCATCAAAAAAATTCTCTGAAGGCTTAATGTTTGATTCAGTCGTTGACTCCGTTTTATCTGATTTCTGCTCATCGAGATTTAGTATTGAAGTTATATATGGTTTGTGCAATAAAGTTGGTTCCGTATAATCTTTTGCCGGTGGAAGATCGGATGCACACAAATTTGTTGGAGAAATTGAGATTCCTGAATTGGTATGAATTGATTGTTGCATTGAATTATGGTCGGCATTCATATAAGAACTTCGATCCGTATTTCTTTGTTTTAAATCTAGAAGATGTGCTTTGTCATCTAGAGAAATACGATTTTTGAATCTTGCATGAGAATGATATCTGTATATGAATTTAATTCCCAAAAATCCTATTACACCAAAACCCCGAGTTTAAAATACATATATGATAGATAACAAATATATTTGTCACAAGTTGACCATTTAAAATTGTTGAAAGCTTAAGAAAATCAACGCTTGTTAAATATAACGCGGATCAGGGTTTGGATGTATTTGGAATTAAAAATATATTTATATAAATCTATTTTGTTCTATACGAACAATTAATTTAGGAACTCGAAAGAAATTATATATACTTACGGCTTGTTGAAATTAATTGTCCTGAATAGAAGGCTCCTTTGTATTTTACGATGCAGTTTTTTCCGTCATATTCTTTAACAGATTTGGAATTGACAACATACCAGCTATTGTTGTCAAATGTCACCAAAGAAAACATGTCGAGCCTAAAATAAAATATATAATGTTTTAAATAAAAATTGTCAAAAATCCACGCTTCAAAAATTCGTATTAAAACAGAGTTATAAACAAAGGTTTATGCTTCCTACTTTTATGTCATCAGTCAATCTTAAACAATTCTGTTGGAAAATAGGACTTCAATCGTCAAAATATTGAATACCGAAAACTCCATTTCCGTTAGTGTCCACTTCTCGACTATTTTCGACTGGCATCTAAATGGTATGGGTATTCGGATTGGCTACGAAAATGGATTTAAATCTTGTATTCCGTTAGTCTCTAAATATCTGCAGATCTCAAAAATATATGGCATTTACATTCTGTTTTCAAAGTTTAGACTAAGTCAATCTTCTTTCGAGCCAACTTCCAGACTTTGTTAGGAAGTATGTCTAAATGGTATAAATATTCGGACTAGCAATCGAAAATGGATCAAGACCATGTATTCCGATATTCTCTAAATATATTTAGGTCTCGACAAATATAGCATTTATATTAAAATATTAAAAATTTTGACAAAGTCAATTTTCTTTGGTGTCAACTTTCCCACTTTTTGAAATCGTGCATCTAATCTGTATGAATATTCGGCTTACCATCGAAAATTTATCTAGACCATGTATTCCGCCAGTCTTCAAAGAATTTCAGAATTAAATTAAAAGGCATTGAAATTAAAGTTTTACAAATGTTGACTAAGTCAATATTCATTCAGGCCAATTTCCCGAGTTTTTGTGGCGTGTGTCCAAACAATATGGATATTCGGACTGGCCATCGAAAATGGATCTACTACATCATGTATTCTATTAATCTCTAATATTTTTCAATGCAATATTTTATTTAATTAATTAAGAAAATCTTTGGTGATTAACGGATAGCAGATTAAGCGAATATATACTCTTCATCCATATTCGATAGATTAACAGAATATACACACCATGGAGGCGTGGGTCCAGACTCCATAAAGTGTAGAAGTTGGCCCGAAAGAATATTGGCTTATTCAAAATGTTCAATACCTAAAGTTAAATGCCAAATTTTTCGAGATCTAAAAATATTTAGAGATTAAGGAAATACATGGCCTGGATCCATTTTGGATGAACAATCCGAATATACATGCTATTTCGTCATACGCCTAATAAGTCTGAAAGTGGACATAAAAAATGACTAGTCAAATTTTAAAACTTGGATTTAAATACCACGTTTTTCGAGATATTAACGTATTTAAACATTAACCGAATATATTGTCCAGATCTATCTTTGGTGGCCAATCCGATAATCCATACCGTTTCGACGCACGCCTTCAAAAACTCGGAAAGTGGACACCAAAGATAATTGAATCCGTAAATATTTTGAATCCTTGAATGTACATGCCTTTATTTAAAACTAATGGAATACGTGATTAAGATCCGTTAGGAAGTGGACACCAAAAAAATTGACTTGACTAACTCAATTTCCCTTCGGGCCAACTTCCCGAATTTTGGAAGCCGTGATTCCTAGCGGTCTACATAATCGGACTGACCATCCAAAACGGATCTAAAATGTGATTTCCTTTATTCTCTAAATATATTTTGATCTCGAAAATTATGGCATCTAAATTCAAGTATTAAAAATTTTGTTAAAGTAAATTTTCGTTGGTGTCTACTTTCCGACTTTTTGAAGGCGTGCTTTCAAACGGTATGCATATTCGGATTGGCTATTGAAAATAGATCTCGACCGTTTATTCCGTTAATCTTTTGAAGGTGTGCATCCATATGGTATGCATATTCGGATTGGCCATGAACAATTGATTTATACAATGTCTTTCGATTGTCTATAACGATTTTCGGAACTAAATATAATATGGCATTTAAATTTAAGTATTCAAAGACTAAGGCAATTTTCTTTCGAACCATCTTTCAGACTTTTTGGAAGTGTGTCCACATGATATGCATATTCGGACTAGCCATTGAAAATGGATCTAGACAGTGTAATCCGTTATTCTCGAAATATATTAAGATCTCCAACAATATTGCATTTAAATGCAAGTATTTAAATAGACTTTATTTTCTTTGGCGTCACTTTCCAACTTTTTGGTGGCGCAAATTGGCCATCCAATATGGTTCTAGACAATGCATTTCGATAATCAATAAAAATTTTCAGAACTACATAAAATATGGCATTTAATTTTAAGTGTTCAAAATTTTAACTAAGTCAATTTTCTTTCCATACTTTTTTGGGAAGTGCGTACAAATGGTATGCATATTCGGACTGGTCATCAAAAATGGATCTAGGCCATGCATTTCGTTAATCTCTAAATATTTTCACAATTTAAAAAATATAATATTTCAATTCCAGCATTAAAACTCTCACAATATATATTTACATATCAAAAAAAAATGTTATTTACATTCTAGTATTAACAAGTAAAAAAGCTGTAAGTTCGGCCGGGCCGAACTTTTAATACCCTCCACCATTTGGTACAAATTTGGCAATTTCCAAAAAAATAAAATCAAAGTTCTTTGGTGTATCCATATTTGTATTGCCCATAGAAAATGTATCTAAACCACGTATTTGGATAATCTTTAAAGATTTTCAGAACTTAAAAAATATGGAATTTAAGTTGAAGTTTTCAAAACTTTGATTAAGTCAATTTTCTTTCAAGCCTACTTCGCTATTTTTTGTGGCGTTCGTTCAAACAATATGGATATTCGGATTGGTCATCGACTATGAATCTAGACCGTGTGTACTTTTAATCTGTAATTACCTTTAGATGTCGAGATCGAAACCGATTGTACGCACGACCCCAAAATTTTGTGAAATGCAACTAAAAAAATAAACTTAATCAAAATGTTGAATACTTGAATTTAAAACCCATATTTTTTCGAGATCTGAAAACAATTAGAGTATAACACAATTCGCAATCTGAATTCATTTTCAATGGCCTTTTCAAATATGTATACTATTAAGACGCACGCCTCCAAAAAGTGGGTAAGTTGGACCGAAAGAAAATTGACTTGGTCAAAATGTGGAATAGTCGTACATTTTCGAGATCTGAAAATAATAAGAGATTAACGGAATAAATGGTTTAGATCCATTTTCAATAGGCAATCCGAATATATACACCATTTGGATGCAAGTCTCCAACCAGTCGACAAGTTGGCTCGAAAGAAAATTGACTTATTCAAATTTTTCAATGCTTGAATTTAATAGACAGATTTTTCGAGATCTCACAATATTTTGAGATTAACGTTATAGTCTAGATGCATCTACAATGGCCAATCCAATCAAAAGAAAATTGATTTAGACAATATTTTGAGTACTTGTATTTAAGTGACATATATTTCGAGATCTGAATGATCTAGATCCATTTTTGAAGGCCAACCCGAAGGTACTGAACTTTCGGATCCACGCCTCCGAAAAGACGGGAAGTTGACAAAAAAGAAAATTCACTTAGGCAATATTCCCAATACTTGAATATGAATACAGTATTTTTTCGAGATTTAAAAATATATAGAGGATAACGGATTACATGGTCTAGACCGATTTTCGGCAACTTTCCGACTTTTTGGAGGCATGTGTCTAAACTGTATATATATTTGGATTTACCATAAAAAATTTATCTATACATGTATTCCGTTAAGATCAACATATATTCATATTTCAAAAATATAGCAAGTGTTAGAAATTTATACTAAATAATTTTTTTTGGTCAACTTTCGAAAAGCCAAGGATATTCGAATTGTCCATCAAAAATAGATCTGGACCATGTATTCCGTAAATTTCCTAATATTATCAGATCTCGAACAAATATGTCATTTAAATTTATGTATTCTAAAATGAGTCTAAGCCAATTTTCTTTCGAATGTATTTACCGACTTTTTAAAATCGTGCGTCCAAATGGCATGGATATTCGGATTGACCATCATAACTGAATCTAGACCCTGTATGCCTATATAATATAATCTATAAATATTTGCAGCGGCTGACGTTCACCTAATGTAATATTTCAAATTATCGTTTATTATATAATAGTAACTTACCTTACGGAAGTCAAATGATCATTTGACGTTTCATTAAGACATAAGTCCCGCGAAGCTTCTCTGAAATCAGCTTTCGATGATGCCAAAGTGGCGGCCTTTTTAATGCCATTTGAAACGATTTTAGAATTTGTTTTTAAAACATTTGTAGGAGATATGGACTCCAAGGATTCTCCTCCAGCTGATATTGAATATTGGGAACAATTTTGTGTGTTCTTAAAATGCGAAATATTGTTTGTTTGTGTGTCGTTGCTAAATTCATTGTGGGAAACATTGCTCTCTTTTATGTTTTTTTGTTCGTGTAAAGCTCGATTTTTTTCCTTTATGTTACACAGATGATCCCTGTCATCTAAAGAAATGAAATGAAATGAAAGAAATTAAATAAATATATACAAGGTATATTACACTTAAACTTACCACTTGCAAGGATAATTTGAGCCAAATAGGTTGCACCTTTATATTTTACTGTGCACTCCGCTTCGGATTTCTGTTTAATGGTTTTTGAGTTAACTACGTACATATGCTCGTCGTCAAATTTTACCAAGGAAAACATGGTGTTGCTCAAGTGGGGTGTACTATAAAATATAATTAGTTATTATAAGCTGATGAAATATATGTGTGTTGGCCAAATTCTAAAGCAAAATTTAGAATTTCGTCTTTTAACACTAGTACTTGCACCTTTGGTAAAAATGTGTTCTTTACTTTTCATAACAGTACTTTAAATAGAATGACGCCAAAAGAAACGCGCTTTGTCTTAAACCGTTATGATTTTACTTCACAACTCTAAGTATATGGCTATCTCTCTTTTTCCAAAGCAATCATAATTGCTAGCTTAAATTTGTCTATGGTTTCTTGTATTTGGAGTACAGAAACTGCTTAAAAAAATTTCAAATATCGATTAAAACATCATCGAGTTTGCGATCTTGGCACTGTTCCATGCATATATAAAATGATACATATAAAACATAAATGCAGAATTCTCTGGAACTTATTCATTAATTATGCTGGAATACACCTAATGTCGTTACTCATTTGATTCACGAACATGTATTAAAGAATTCAACACTTATGTTTTATGTCTATTATTTTATACATGTATGACTGAAATATTACATTATTTACAAAATTAATAGGGCGTTGATCTCATTTTAATCTCAAAAATATATATTTTAACCACCGCTATTGGGAAAAGACATTTACAAAAAATTGGGAGGTCGCGTGTAAATGTATCTCTTTCCAAGAGCAATGTATGTACATTAACTAACTTACCTTCAATATTTCATGGACTTTCGAATGCAATAAATAGTTCATCTAATAATTCGAAGGCCTCGTTATATTTCGCAATCAGACTATACTCCAAAAAATTTCAGAATTAATTATAATTTTGTTTAGTATAAGAATATAGTTTTCACTTTCTTTGTGTCTTCACTTTAAATGGCTATTGCAATTTATCCAACGGAACTTTTTCGATACAACCTGATATCGATAACAATAATTAACCTCGTTATGCCATGTTCATACTGTTGTCTCAATTACGTCGTTCGATCATAGATATTTAACAAGATGAATTGTAATATAAACAGGAAAATCAATTTTCTATACTCCAAATAGATGTTTTGCATTAAGTTATGCCAAGTTCACAATGAAGGCAATTCGCTGTTGGACACCCAATTACGAACTAATTTCTTCATTGTTTATAAAAAAATGTGAGCGAACTGTTATAGGTCATAATTTTTGGTTACATTACTCCCCAAACGACAAAAATATGTGAATATATGATTTTTCTGAAAAAAGTAATTATGAAAGGAAATAAATAAAAACTTAACGCATTTAAAGCACACATTTTTATTAAAACGCGAATGAAAAGTTACATACTAAATTAATAAGGAGACTTCAAACGAAAGAAGTATTTGTTTCTTATACCCTCCACCATACTATATAAGGTATATTAAGTTTTTAATTCCGTTTGTAACTCCTTGAAATACTCATTTTAGACCCCACAAGGTATGTATATTCTTGATCAGCGTAAAATTCTAAATCGATGTCCGTCTGCTGTAAACCTGCTGTCTTTCGTATTTGAAGTTCGCAATAGGTTCTACAGCATATGACACAAAATTGTACATTGAGGTCCACGGTAACGGTACCTCCCGATATTCGGTATTTTGATGATTTAAGCGACAGTTTGAAGTACGTAATTGATGTTAAAGCCTTTGACAAAAAACGTCTTATGCAGGTCCACGTCTCCGTGTATTTTCATCTTTTTAGCCATAATTTTCAATAGAATTACCTGAACTTCTACACAAGGAGTTCTTTGTGAGTACTTTATTTTTTGACTTTTATAGAAAATACAGCTGTTCTTCATTTTGGTTCATAATTCAAGTCATCTTCTTGAAATTTTTATTTTATGTTAATTTCGACTTGTTAATTTTGGTTTTTTATGGCTTGTATAATGATATGGACCTGGTGTATTTGGGTTGTACGACGCGTCGAATTTTAGGCAACGCTGTAAAACATAAATTCTGAACTTTTTATACCCTCCACCACTATGTTGATCAACGAAAAAGGAGAAAGGACATACCGAGAATCTCAAATATCAAGTTTCAGTTTATTTGGTTTAATATTATTGTCCTCAATGTGGTTCTATAAGTATTTATTCCCTTAATTTAAATTTTGCATACATTACAGTATACTTTCATCACAATTGTATGAGGTTTATATGGTGGATTTGAGTTTGGATTTGAGCAGTTTATGTAACTTTATCATTAAAAATATTCAAAAATAACATAAAATCAATAAAAATAGTCTACTGTCCTCCGTGTCACTTCAAATTAAACAAGTTCTCATTTGAGTTATTGAGTTTATATTTATGTTTGAAACGAAACTGACAATAGTTATTTAACATTGAGATGTTGTCAAATGGACAATTTAGAAAAAAAAATGTAAACATAAGATTGCATGACTTTACCTTCTTAATTCTAAATGGAGTATTAATTTACATATATTTAAAATAATTGGTCTTTTTCAGAAATGCAAGAATGTAAAAGTTTTAACTACGATAACCGATTGTCGTTTTATGATATCGGAAAAAATGGACACTAACAAATTCTTGCAGGTTTTGGAACAGAGCCAATGTTTATAACATTAAGCACAATACATACACATATAAAAACTACGAATATGTATGTAAGCACTCGATTAAGATAACTAGTAGTGTAGAGAAATAGTAGTGTAATTGTAAACAATCGATTGTTAGGTAATCAAATCATTTGTGCATAAACGCACTTCGTCCTCATCGTTTTTGTTTTGAATACGTTTGAGCAAATGATCAAAGTGAACAAAAACACGGGACACAACGCAAAACTTTGTCTCTTGTTTATTCATAATTTGAACTAAACATAGAGATATATCAAAAGTCTGGATTCTTGACCATGCGCTATGTTTATCTCTCTCACGCCTGTAAAAAACAAAAACACTTAATTTATGGTTCTATACTCAGTATTATTCTAATACTCCCTATTCACTTGGTGGTTGTTTCCAAACAGTCATGTTTAATAGTAGTTCGCAGATCATGCACATTTACGAACGAAACAATCCAAATGTTTGAGAACAAAAAATGTAATTCGGTGGTTTTCAGTAACACTAGCCGATTGATTCTGTTTCTGTAATGCTTACGAGAATTTGGAGTAGTAAAATTCATGACTTGTTTATGAAATTAAAAATTAAAACAAGTAAAATAGGCACTAAGTTCGGCCGGGCTGAACTTTTTATATATTCCACTATGCTTGTCAAAATTTAAAATTCTGGAAATTCTGGCAGAAACCATCAAAATACCGAAATACCGTGGACCCGCGTAAGTAATTTTTTGTCAAAGGCTTTAATATCAATTACCGGTTTTCCCTTTATTATATCGGTTATCGTAGTAAAAGCTTTTACAGTCATGCAGTTCTGAAACCGATCTACTGTTGTTTGTATTACTTGTTCGCTCATTTAACTATTAACACGAATAAAATCAATCTACGACATGATACATAATGGTATTTCCTTAAAAGGTATATTTTCTATTAAATCACATATTTTGCATTCATATTTTAAACATTTTCGTAAAATGTTAAAGTTTTCAATTTATATTCATAACATATTTTTCTAAAATAAAAATAAGAGAGGCATGTCAAAAATACTTTTTGGTTTATATACATTCGCCTAATTATAAGTTTTTGATTCAAGATTTTTGCGCGATTTCAAGAATTGGCATAACTATTATACGCCAAAAAAAAAAAAAAAAAAAAAAAACAACTATAACTCCGCCTAAATGCGTATTAGAAATAGTGTTGACTAAATTTTGTATGGAAAAGTAAGTAATGTGACGTTTCCACTGCACTTGATTCGCTCTCTATTCGTTGTTTGACCCTTAACTATGAAAAAACTACCTAATTCTTCACACAAAATTTCCTGAGCGAACACTCATATTTGTACGTTGTTCAAATTAAATCACTCTCAGAACAACGAAAAAATATGTCCCATCCCTAACAAATGAGAGCATTTATCGAAAAAATAAATTATGACATTTAAAAATTATAAATAGAAAAATTTAATGAAATTTTAAAAATTTTTGGGAAGACTGAAAATTATGAATGAAAACTACAATGTTGAATGGCGTATGTACATTCAAACGAAAGTAAATTTTGTTTTCTCTCTCATTCGAGGTACGCATTTGGTCCACGAGTTAAAATTTCTACAGAAAACTGCAAACAAAAGAGTCAATATTTTCAAAATGTTTCGATCGGCAGAAAAAATGTTTGACAAGTGTCTCTTCAGCAGAATTTAAAAATGGAAAAACACAAAAATATGTTCAAAATGTCAACATTTACACAAAAAGTTGAAAACGTGAATGAAAATTGTAAAATTAATGATATAATTAATCTTTGGGAGAAAAACAATAATTTCTTATATTCATATTAGTGAGAATTTCATGTATTTTCGTATACATTTCCTTTAAAATCAACAAACAATTTTTTTGAAAAAAGGAATTATTTTACTATGAATTACGAATCGTACCGTATGAACGGGTTAATTCGTGTACCTAATTCTGAGAGCGAACAACGTTGTTCGGTTTCCAATGGAAACATGCTATAATTTGTTTGCTATATGTCCACTAACATCGTCTTGCACTTTTAGGCATTTCTACCTATCGATTAATCGTAAGTCGACTTGTGTATCCCTAATTCTTTACTGCAGAAACAACAATAGCTGATAATTATTGTTACAAAAATCGATCAGTTTCTCCCTATATTGTTTATACAAATTATGTCAAAGAGATAAACAATTAGAAATGTCTGCTTTTTTGTACCCTCCAACACTATGTATTGAGGGAAGTATAAGTTAGATTGGGCCAAAAAGTTTGTAACACCTCGAAATATTGGTCCTAGACCTTATATGTTATATCCCCTATCCTATCTGCAGATCTGAGTCGATCTAGCTATGTGTGTCCGTCCATGTTAATTTACACGCAATTATGGTGCAATCCTCACGAAGTTTTGAATGGATTTGGACTTAGGGACAGAATATTATCCTTTTGTTTTGGAGATGATCGCAAAATGTTAAGGCGAACACCAAAAACAATTTTTTTTCCTGATTTTGCAGTGTCTCAACCGGTCATGTAGGATATTGAAACGTAACAAGAAACAGAACAAATATATTTTCCTTTAATCTTCATAATCACAATCTTCATAGGCCGACGATATAAGACGATCAAGCTGTGTGTCTGTCCGTCCGTTGTTTAAGGATTGTAATCAAAATCCAGGCCGTAGTTATGGGTCGATCGTCACCAATTTTTGTTATGATCGAATAATATTAAGCGGGTAATACAGACTAAAAACAACTATTTTTGTCGAGCTTGTTGCTGCTCTGCAGGTTGCTGTAATAAATCTCTTATCTGATAGCGTTCCATCTTCCAACTTTTATTTACTTGGCCGCAACATTTCTTCCTTAAATAAGACATAATCTGTATATTAACAGGCTGAAATGTATCAGTTGGTTTAGCCGATTGCTATATACCCTTAGCTCAGGATGGTCAAGCAATATTGTCCATTGCATATCTGACCTAATTCAGATATAAATATTATAATATGCCATATTTGGACTATACAGACTTCTGCCCGCTTTTTAGAAAAGATATGCCATAATATTCAGAAAAAGTCGATGTTGAAGTATTCCACTTTGCCTAATGCTGATACAAACATTGGGACCCGTACATTTTAACGAAATTGAAAAAATTTAATTCAAATTCGAACCCTTTGGAGGAGGTACCGGAAGAAGTGGACCGATAAATTCCTTATTCACATCAAATACCTGGTAGTGAACTATTTATCAAGTTTGAAAAGTTGCGCTGACTTGATTCCAAAGTTATGGAAGGTACAATATTGATAATTGTGACC